AGTTTCAGGATTTGGGAGCAGCTGGAACTTAACTCTTCCTTCCTTCCTTCCTTCCTTCCTTCCTTCCTTCCTTCCTTCCTTCCTTCCTTCCTTCCTTCCTTCTCTTGGGCTATCAAATGAGCTAAACCTGGCTGAAGGTGTGCATGATGGGTGAGGGTTATAGAGTTTACTGATGGAATCCAATCCAGAGACTGGGAGTGGCTTGCTACAGCTTGACCAGGGTCAAGTAGCCGTCTTTTAGCAGCATCAGCTCTCTCACTTAACAGCTACCAGAAGTCTGAATGGGACCAAAGAAATGGCTTGATTAAATGGACAATCTGCCTATTCAGAAATTGTTAAAGCAGCACCTAGGGTTGTGTGTTTATATGTTGCAGTAGTCAAAATGAAAATTTAAATAAGTGAATCAACTATGAATGAGGTGCAGGCTTGGCATTAAATAAGTGATAGTTTAACTTTTCTGGAATGTTTCTTAGGAAAGACTGACAAGATTAACAAAGACAGTTCAGAGAACAAATTTGCAGATGTAAGAAGGGGGAAGGGCAATCTGAATTTAGGGGTTTGCATTTTTTGCACTGAAAATGTCAGAAAAGTAACCATAGGTAGAATTGGCCACTTGAAGCCTGGCCTAAGCCAAGGGAATGAGTAATGGGTGTAGCAAAATGCACTTCAGGTAGAAAAGTGATTACTGCTCAAGCACTCAACTATTTGACTAATTCTTTCTTTATACCGTATTCATAATCCTACAAACTTCCTTCTCCTCCCTGTTGAAACCCTACTTTATTTAGAATAGTAATCTAGGAACAGTATTGGGTGAATATTTCCAATTTACAGGCAGGAGAAATTGTTAAGTAAATTGAATGTCTTTATGATCTAGGCAGAAGCCCAGATAGCTGCTAAGAAGATGGACAAGGAATATTTGCCCATATCTGGGCTAGCAGACTTCAACAAGGCATCAGCTGAACTGGCTTTGGGAGAAACAAATGAGGTTATACAAAGTGGCCGGGTAAGAAGCCAAATGACATATATATTAAGTGCATTCAGACAGAGGTTCCTATATCAGAAGATGTCTTTGCTGTGTAAAATTTGGATTGGTTGTGGATGAAGAGTTGACTTCTGTAGTAGCCTTAGCTGAGCCTTTGAAATCATTTACCCCAATTGCTCTGTTGGGAAAAGGTGAAAGCAACTGTATAGCTCACCGGTGACAATGTGTCTTAATTTTGAAAACACTTGGAGTTTCTGGACCCCAGAGAGGCAGTGTTTCGACAGGTGAACCATCTCCTTTCATTCCATTTGTTGGAAAAGGTAATATGTGGGACACGTAAATGCAGTTTTGTCTGAAAATTCTGAAACTCCACCTTTTACTTATCTTTGGCTTGGATGTGCTACATGAATCAATCCTACAGTTCAGTGTGATCTCTTGATCTCTCCTCAAAACATACTCACAGTGCCTGAGTCCAGAAGAAGATATATTGTGGCTATCCCAAAGTTAATTTAATCACATAATGTGCAGGAAGTAGAAACAATGTCATCCTTAGGTTAGCTGCATCTGGGAACCAACCCTTTGGAGCTGCTTGTATCTCGAGTGGTTTCAGTTTTCACATTCCTCACTGAAACCTTGCAATCCCATCCATTGCACAAATTAAATCACCCCATGCAAGGGGCTATCTGGCCTCAAACTTCATTGTGAGTAGCATCACTCCCCTCAAGCTCTATTGATGCTCTGTAATATCGCAAAAACAATTGAGAATTGCAGTGGTTCTTTTCAGTTGGTTGAGCATGTCACCTTCGCAGCAGAGGTAAACAACTTGTGGCCCTGTGGATTTTTCTGGGACTTCCCTTCTCCAAATTTGTAACTTAGATCTGGGGGAAGGTGGATTTTGGGCTCCCATTTCCTGCTACTTTAAGGTTTTTGGCTGCAAAATTAGAGAACAGGCTCAGTGTTTGCTAAGCTACAACAATCTTTTTCTTTGTTGGTATCTGGATTTCTCATTTGCCTTCTCTGCATCCTTTCAGTATGTTACTGTGCAGACAATTTCTGGAACTGGGTCTTTAAGGGTTGGAGGCAACTTCTTGGTGAGTGCTCATTTAAAATCTTTAAATGTAGAGAATAGGTCTCCTTGAGCCATCTACAAGCTCCAACTCAGCTGCCTCCTCTTTCTTCCTGTTTAGCAACGATTCTTCAGCTCCAGCCGTGACGTGTTCCTCCCCAAGCCTTCCTGGGGGAATCACACACCCATTTTCAGAGACGCTGGAATGCAGCTACAAAGCTATCGATATTATGACCCCAAGACGTGCGGCTTTGACTTCACTGGAGCGTTGGAGGACATTTCTGTAAGTTTACACCTATGGGTAGATACGGTGGGAGGATCACATGTGTGGAAAACATAGCCCAGAAAGCTCCAGTGAGAGGCAAGATTGATGGTAGCTGAAGTCCTGTAGCCACTTTCCAAAAGCCAAGATGATGTGTGGGAGGCTCATTCTGTAGGCAGGGACACGTATCGAATGCATGAAACTGCAACAATGAGAAGAGGAGTTACCATGTTTTGTGATGGGGGAAATGACTCTTAACACTTCTTATTTAAAGGGATCGTGATCCATGCCTTATCCCTGCATCTTCTTTTTTTTAAAAAGAAAATTCCAGAAAAGAGCATTATTCTATTCCATGCCTGCGCTCACAATCCCACTGGAGTAGACCCTCGTCCAGAGCAATGGAAGGAGCTGGCGGCAGCAGTGAAGGTGAGTGCCGGGCCCAGGCAGGGGTCTCCCTTCAGCCCTTGCGGGCTTTGGCTGTGCTCCTGGGGCATCCTTTGGGCCCTGTAGGGTGCAAGGGAAATGCGTGTTTCGTTTGATTTTAATTATGTTGGGATTTGGCCACTTTCATTGACTGGCGTCTTGATTTTTATTTTATAATTTAAATTTCTTTTTGTACCTAAAATTGGCTTTTCTTTTACATTTATATCTATTTTTCATATTGTTCTTAATATTTTATTTTACAAGTGGAAGAGTGCATTGACTTGAGATCAAGATTTGCAGCTAACAAATTGCTTTTGGGGAGGCATCTTATCCAGGCAACTGCAGGCATTTGCCTTTTTTGAATTATTAGAGCTAACTATGAAACATAATTCTTTCCCCCTTCAGGAAGAGGCAGGGAAGCTGAAGTCTTTGAGTGGCTGAAGGAGGGAAGAGGGGACTGGGTGGGTGGGGAAGGGCGGTGGTAGTTGGAAAGCCTGTGGGATGGGAGCATCCTGGACCACGTGGGACTTGCCATTGACCTTCTTGTGGCCACATCTTTGGCCTCTGGCAGTGGAGGGAAAGCTGTTGGGGGAAAACAAGCCGTTTTGTTCAATATACGGTGCTTTCAGAACACTTTTCAAGGACCTCTGATTGGAGAACTCCCGACTGGTTGGTTGCATTGCTGAATAGCTGAGCCAGGCCAGGGGGACATTGGGAAAGGACCCGGATGAGACTGGAGGCAAGGCCTCCCTTTAGTCACTCATCCTGACCAATCCTGATTTTCAGCGGAGCTATAGAAATGGTGGGAGTAAAGAGGCACCTAGAATAGTAATGCAGAGACCCAGATATGAAGGTGGTGGAGTCCAAATACTTACCCGTGTTTGGGCTTATATGGGGTGTGTGGCTCAGTTTCTGGGTAGTCTCCAACGTCCGTGTTTGGAGGGAAAATACTGAAAAACGATAGGGAATCCGCCGCAGAGGAGGATGCAGATTGCCTGGATCTCCTTCGATCAGGATTCAGACCAGGCTTCTTGGTCTTGTTGGGACTTCTCAGCAGTGGTTGAGAATGGTGAAGGCTTTGGTGTCCTGGAAAGCTGGAGATGGAGTAGTTCTGTTCCTGCCTAGTTCCAGGCCGTTGTTTGGGGAAGCCAAGCACCTGGGGCTCTGGTGGGGGAATGGCAAGTCTCAGTCCTCTCCCTTCACTGTTTAGCCTCTCCTGGGAGATACCATCACTAAGTTAATAATGCCCTGTGTCTCTACTCTGGTCCGGGTTGCTGTGGAGGTTGCCCAGCTTGCAGCTAGAAGGAATGAAGGAATGAATGGGAAGAAAGACGCTTCAGAGTAAGCCTGGGAGAGGCAGAGCTCTTGCCTTTTGGGGTTGGGCTCCACTTCTTGCAGAAGCCATGGCTGGAAGCTGTGTCCAACAGTGGCTGCTGTGCCAGTGGCAGCCGTAGGGACTGCCTTCTCCAGAAGGAGTCGGCAAGAAACGGGCCGCTTGGGGGGGGGGGGCTGCCCATGTGCTGCGGGGAAGGGGGGGTGGACTGCAGGTTAGCCTCCGCTTTCAAGAACATCTTGCCCTGGAAGGAAGGAAACATCTCGTGTTTCCTTCTGGTCTTCTGCCTTCCATGCATTTTTGGGTTTTTCAGTGTTGAATTGCATGCATGAGATGCTTGTGTGTTACACATTTCAGGCCTTTGGGGTGTGGGTTTGTTTTGTTTGTTTGTTTGTTTGTTTGTTTGTTTTGGGGGGGGTGTTGCATGAAAACCTCAGGGGTCTTGTTGAGCTGCCCCCTTGTACAAGGAGAGGCCCAGCAGCCGAATGTTCTGCTTCAGTGGCCACCCTTGAAAACTCTTTTCCAGAAAAGGAACCTCTTCACCTTCTTTGACATGGCCTATCAGGGGTTTGCCAGCGGGGACATAAACCGAGACTCATGGGCTGTCCGTCACTTCATTGAGCAAGGCATTAACATTGTACTCTCCCAGTCCTACGCCAAGAACATGGGTCTCTACGGTAAGCCTTATCTCTTCCACCACTCCCCCCCCCCCACGGACCCCTCAGCACTTCCTCTTTCAGAGTGAAAGGAAAAGCTCGAAAGGGGAGTTTCTGGGGTGCCCCCAGGAGAAATGGGGTGCCATGACTTTAGAACATCTGTGGGGGAAGGGGGGTTCTCTTGGGTTTCTGCCAGAAACCATGGCTAGCGAGAGCCTGCTTGCTGCCCAGAGGGTGTAGGGGCTTTGTGCTGGGCAGTTCGTGCCATCTGTGG